CAAAGGGGTTCATATTTGTTGTTTGTACTGCCCATGTAACTCTCTCTGTCTTTCTCATCCTCAATGCTGCCATATTGGTCACTCACATTTGGTACATTTGGGCCACAGTTTTGAGTGACTGGGCAGCTAGATGTAGTTACTCCCCATGATGAGACTAGTAATCAACTCCATGACAAAATTTGCTGTGAGCAGCTGAGTAAGCTGCCTTAGGGATGTGGTCTGCTTCCCATATATAAGAATTAGCTTTGAGAAAGGTCTCCAGCTTCTTGGCACATCTGGATCCTGCATTTGGTCAAGTCATCAGTGGCCTGCCATGTTGCCTGCTGGTCTTAGGACTGTTTCTGAACTTGAACTAGTGGTCTGCCGTGTTGCTTGATAATCTTAGGACTGTGCCATTTTACTTGTTGACCTTGGGTTTGTCAGCCTCAGTGGCCAGCAGCTGTCTGAGTTAAGAGATGCCTCCAGCTCCAATGTACCAGAAGCAAGAGGCAGAGCTGAAGCCCAAGGTCAAGGGGGCTCCACCCAGCCCCTAGAGCTTGCACTTTGAACTCAGACTTCTAGCCTCCTAAACTGTAAGAGAATAAATCCTTGTTTGTTAAAGCCATCCATTTGTGGTATTTCTGTTATAACAGCACTAGATATCCAAAACAGGACACTTTGTAATCTTTAAGTAAAATGAACTATGAATTGACCCAAAAATCCCACTGAAAAAGAAGTCACATTTCCGTAACTGACAGAATCCAGAATCTACCATCTTCCCAAAGCACTGAGTAGGTAAGAGAAGGTATGAAGGGAAAAAAGGTTAATACAGACACACAGACCAATAAGAAATAGACTCACTTGGCTGTGGTGAGAAGCCCGGTGAGCTCCTTGGCCCCTGCTGAAGCTTGCCCCAGGGTCATGGTGATGGGTTTCCCTCCTGAGACTACAAAACAGAGAATCCCAAGGCCACTGGTCAGTCATATTTAGTCCCTACCTTCCAGGGGTCCAGTCAGGCTAAAGGCAAGGTAATATGGTTACTGGCAGGGAGATTAAAAAAAAAGAAGAACTACATAAGAGTAGGAAGAGTTGGCTCATCTTTTCCTTGTATTTTCTAGAATATTTTATTACCTTTAATAGAACCCAAAAAAGAACAAAATATATGATGCTTCAAATAACTGTACAGCTACCTCTCATATTTTGCCTCCCTGATTCTCATTCAGAGCAGGTCACTGCCCAATTTCTCCCCAAGTGCAACCTCGTGCCTCTTGGCTGCAGGCACCTCTCACACTGAAGAAGAGTCTGAGATATCCAGCAAGTAGCTACCAACAGGGCAATGCTGTGTACCCTGGGAGAACACAGTTACTTTTTGTTTAAACAGGCTAAGAGAACCTCACCTTCTGGAGCTCCTCCCTGGGAAGGAGTACACGGCCCTCCAGCTGTGTCTCCTTGAGAGATAAGGGACACCTTGATCTTCGGTCGCTTGGAGGCCTTACCACCAGAAAGAGGGCTGGAGGGATGGTGCCGCTTCAGCTGGACCCTAAGATCCTCTTTCTCTGCTTCCTCCGTTTGTTCTGATGAAATGGGAACTAAGAGATGGAGGTGAGGTGAAATACTCCACAATCCCAAAAGCCCCATAAGCACTGTTAGCAGATAGAAGCACAGGCATACCACCCACATGTGTGAACATACTCACAGAAGAGCACGGTCCCACTTCAGGAGACTGCCAGTGCTTCAGTCCCACCCTACTCAGGCCCCACTTGTGGTGGAGCCCTAACCTACCCCTGTTAGAGATCAACTCCATCCCCATCCCTCATCCCTGTCTTGGAGTTAACAGTACGGGGGCTCTGAGTTGGTGGGCAACAGAAAGAAAGGAGACACCCTGACCATGCCAACAAAAAGCAGAGGACTCACCATAGCAGATTTAAACAGTGCTTCCCAGACTCAAAAAAAACTAATTCTCATTTCAAGTCTTCCCCATATCACACAGCTGGGGAGAGCAAACATTCTACAAAGAACCCATAGAGGAAGCAGGCCATTCCGGTTCTCTCCAAAGAGAGAATTTTTCACAAGATCTCAGAGTTACACTCTGTCCTAAAAGTTCAGAGTTAAGGGTTTGCTTGCCAAACTGAGGCAATGAGAAGGATTATCACCAGGACTTAGGGTTGGCTTTGAGTAGCTACTAGGTTAGGGAGCATCTCAACCCAAACAACTTCACAGCTCCTACTCAAAGGCAACAATGGCCTGTCACAATCATTTGTACTAGTGGAGAGAAAGACCCTCTGTTTACACACAGGCCTTCTCTTCTACTGAATCAAACACTCACCCTGTACATGGCCAACCTCCTGGACCCTTAAGTTATCCCTCTCACTCCATCAGGGACTCCTTCCTCTTGGGACCCAGAATCCCACCCAAAAGCCTCCCTAATCCCACTTCTTAGCATAAGCAAGCAGGAGTGGGTAGAGGAGAGGGAGGCAGCATTCACACAACAATGAAGGGGGATCCTAGCATGGGACCACAAGGAGCTAGCCCAGAGGGAAAGACTGCATAGAGAACATATAAATGCACTAGCTAAAATCAAACTAGGAAGGAAAAAGAGTTAAAAATTTTATGCTGGTAAGTGGCTGGTTCGCTTTCAGTGGTCAGGATGGAACTAGGAAAACAAAAGCAGAAAAATGTACAAGGAAACTCAGGATCACAGGCACACAGAAGACAGAGAGCCAAGAACAAAAATAAAAGATAAAAAAAGGAAGACAGAATACCACTGAGAGGCAAACAGAAAGAATAGAAAAAGAGTCAAGATTACAGAGCAAGCAGAAAGAGTCAAAAGAAAAGAATCAGAAGACAGAAAAATGCAGAGAGGAAAAAAAAAAAAAAAAAAAAGGAGGAAACCAAAACAGACATAGATGAGAGTCAGGGATAGGGGAGAAGAGGGAGAGGGAGAAAAGCAGAGGGTGAGCAGGTGAAAGAAAGAGAGCAATACTCACCAAAGAGACAGGAGGAGGTGCCAGGAGGAAGAGCTTTCCTCACCAGCATATTTTGTTTCAGAAAAGCAGCAAACTGTGCTGGAATGAATCAGAAAGAATTACAGAATCACAGCCAGCCAGAGAAAGGGCAGAAAGAGAGGGAGTGAGGAAAAGGTATGAAAAAGTTCTAGCACCATGGTTAAGAACAGGGGCTCTTTCTGGAGTTATGCATGGGTTTGAAACCTGATTCTGCCACTTAAAAGTTCCATGGGTGAAATCATCTATTAACTGAAGATAATAATACAAACCTGACTCATAGGGCTGTTGCCAAGACTCAATGAGCTATAGTCAGTCAAATGCCAAGAGGGTGCAGCATACAGTAAGGGGTCCATACATGTTAGCACCGTCATTCCATTCTCTGCCAAAGTCAGGGTTCTGTGGCTGCTGCTCTCGTCCCAATCCTGACCCGTTTTGATCCTCAGATTCTCTATTGCTCATCCCCTCCAGAAGCAGACCCCCTTATTCTCTCTCCTCATTAAAAGCCTAAGAGGAACAGCAACACCACCCACCGAGAACTTATCTCTGGACACCACTAGAGAAGATGCAGCTCACAGAGGATCTACACAGACCCTGGGGGCCTGGCCTCCTTTCTGCCTTCAGCCATCCACTCATCCCTTCTGCCCCTTGTTAGCACCACTAGTATGCGTCATCCCTTAAGAGGCCTGGGTTTAAGTTCTGAACCTTTGGCTTCACTAAAAGAAGTAAAGGGGGAGCAAGCAGATCAGACTCGTGTCATCTCCATGCCCCTCTGCTTAACAGCCAGACTTAGCTACTGCCTCTTTCCAGGCACTCCCAATTCTCCAGAGAAACTCAAATAGTGCATGCTCCTGGATAGATCATCAACACCCATGCCTAAGAGGCCTCACCCCAGAGCCTGCCCAGATGGATCAAAGCCAGGGAGGACAGTCACTGCATTTCCTCTTCTCTCCCTATCCACTGAATCTCTTTCCTATAGCTTCTTACGTAGCACTTGCTACACTCAAAATTCAAATTTCAACCATACAAATATTTCTCAGCCTAATTTAAAACCTATCTCCAGATACTCCTCATACACTCTGCTAAAGGACCCACCCAGTGTGGGAATTTTAGCCCAAGAATAAAAGAAAGGGCATGACACCAGCTAAGTTGCCCTAGAATCTGATGAATAAAGTCAATCTCCCTGAACACATGACCTGAGAGCTCTCATACTGCAGAAGCGCCTAGGCAATGCCTAGAACAAGAGAAGATGCAGCTTCCCCAACTGGTAGTCAGAAAAAAAGTCTAAGGTCAATATACATTTAGTCAGTTCACAAAACCTAACTTACCCAACACCAAGTCAAAGCTATAACTTGTGGGCCTACATAGCCCCACTAACACACAGGCCCTCTACTGACTTTTTTTTACCCTTGAAAACAACCCTTAGTATTCATTTTAACCTAATTTTGCTTGGATAGAAATGTTGGGAAGGGTGCCTCTCACCACCCTTGGAAAAAGCTACGGATGCTAATATTTTCCAACCACCACATGGCATCATGGCAGTAAACAGAACCTGATATGCCACTCACTGGGCCAGGTGCCTACCTTGGGCTTGTTTGTGGGTCAGCACAGCTTCTGTCCTCTGCACATGCCTCTTCAGCAACTGAGAGCTCCCAATCTGGCTGGACTTCTGGGCAGAGGTCACTGTGGTCACTTTGGTCTTGGGACTAGAGGTGGGGCTGCTAGACACACTGGAGAGGTCCTGAGTAGGGTGAGAAGGATAAGAGGATGTTGTTTGGATTCAACTATCAGTCAGCATGTCCCCTAGAATTCCCTGGCCAGGAATTCTCCTCACAGGAACTCAAGAGACCTCTAGCACAGACAAGGTGGACAGGCATACCCTGGAAACTAAGAAATCAATTCCTCAGTCCTGATTCTCCAGTAAAAATGCTCCCTCCCTCCAGTTTGCATTACTTCAGAGCCTGAGGGTGAGGCAGGCAACTTGGCGGCTGGGGAGGCAGGTCGACTGCCCCGCTCAGGGACTTCAAAGGCCAGGTCTCTGCGGGCTGCGTCACGGGGTTTCTTCTTCTTCTCTGCATCCTGATCTCGAGGCTCTGAGCCCACATGCCCTTCAGCACGAGTGAGCACTCCAGTCAGAAAGTCCACAATTTCATCCTAATGTAAAAGAGGAGCCAAGGCCTTATTAGTCCTAGTCAATTTGCAAAGTAAAATTTATTTTACCTTGGCTTTGGTGCCCAGATGTGCTGGTCCCACCACACTCAAACAAAGCCTGGCACAAACCCCAGCCATCAAAGAAGCTCTGGTAGGCACCTGTGGCACTGATGCCTATCTATGTGTGGAATCCTGGATCAGGAGCAGTCACACTATCACTCCCTGCCACTAAGCTCTTTTTCCCCATTGTTTCCCTCACCCCTTAAACTCATCATTCTCCTTCTCTTTTTCACATTTTCTTTATGATTTATGCCTATCAGAGGATAGCCCCTCACCATCCAGAGCCAAAAAGGGTGTTGACAATAAGACCAAACCTAAAAGGTTATAGACAGGCAAGCCCAGCTCAGAAAAACACATAAAGCAACTGTTTACCTGAATACATCTGTCCACCATGCTCTGAGTCAACCCTTCTGATTTCTTCTTTGCTTTGCTTATTCTAGAAGACAAAAAGGAAGAATTACTTACTGTTCGACTGTTTCTTGGCATCACATGGAAAAAGAATGGGTTTTTCATCTATGTTGGTTATTTTTCTAGGTTCATGATGGGAGGACTCTGTTAGCCCTCAGGTAGTAACTTAACCTCTCTGAACCTCAGCTATGACATCTACAAAATAGGAAATCATAAAACTTCCCTCATGGAACTACAGGGATTAAAAAAAATAACCTATATAAATAACCAACTACAGCATGTACATATTCCAAATTCCTATATTAACAGATCAACTCTATCTGTGTTGCTAAGACCTCATCTAGAGGTCTGAATCCCCAACACACACCTGAATCCTGAGATTACTGGGTGCTACTGAGCTGAGATTATCAAGAGAGGAGGAAAAGTGGTAATAAGTTATAAAAGGATAAGAGAAAACTATCCCAGCCAATTGCATTCCCTTTTTTGAAAATTAAACATAAAACCACTGACTGCTGACAATGGGTGTTGAAGGAGAAAGAAACAGCATTATCAAATGGTAGGATGAAGAACAATATGAACCTCCAAATTCTGAGATTCTAATTTACTAGTTGTTGGCCTCTGATCCTGTGTAACACTCTCATTTTATAGATGAGGCCAGTGAGTCCCAGAAGTTAAGCAATTTACCCAAGATTCTTAGCAAAGAAGTCAAGACTAAATTCAGTCACTTAATTCTCGGTCTAATGTTCTTGGTATCATGCAAACAGTCTCATGAGCAACTTCACACTGAAAATCTCGGTAACATCATTACCATTTCCCCCACTCCCTCAGAGCAACTCAACACACTCTATCTGTTCTCATGTAGGTAAGAATGCCTGAGTTATCAGCAAGAACAGTGTGTATGTGTATATGAAAACATTGCTTTGAGCATCAAAGGACTAGACACTAAATCCACAAGAAGCTGAGAGAATGTCTACGGACAGAAGAGCTTCTCTAAAACACTTCTGGATATGACAGAAATTGGCCAAGACAGTGGAGAGCTTTAAATTTTTTAGTTAAAACATGCAACTGAAATTAACCTCTAAATTGAGCATGTAAAAAAATAAAAGGCCCAATAAAGGACACAATCTCTTTTTCAGTATGTTTCTTGAAAAGCCCTATATGCAGTTCACCCTTGTAAGGTAAGTACAGCAGTATCAACGACTGAGGACACCTTCTTAAAACCTCTTCCAACATATATACAATAGACTACTACTCAGCCAGTAAGAGAAATAAAGTCTTCATATGAATGGTACTTGAAGATACTATGTTGAGTGAAGTAAGTCAATAAAAACAGGACAAATACTACATGCTCTCACTTAGATAAAAAAAACAAATGTATAGAGACCAAAGTTAGTTGGGGCAAAAGGGAGGGGAAAAGGGAGTTACTGCTCATGGAGCACTGAGTTTTGTTTTATGGTGGTGGAAAAATCACATTGCTTAAGGGTAGAGTGAAAAAAAAAAAAGAAAAACTCAGAGAAAAAGTTCAAAGAGATAATCTTTAAACTTAAACCCCAAAAATAGTTTAGCTTAACTAGAAAAGAAGTCTTCCTTGAACATATGGGATCAAACTGAGAAAAGCAAGTTGAAAGACTAGATAAGAATGTTAAGGGGCAGTGAGTTTACGTTAATAGGGAAGAACAATTTGGAAACAGAGGATGAGAATGGTTGCACAACTTGAAGAATGTAATCACTGTCACAGAATTGTACATGGAGAAATTGTTTAATTGGTGTATGTTTTGCTGTGTATATTCTCAACAACAACAAAAAAAATATATTGAAAAAAAATAACCAAGGTCATGCTTTTAAAAAAAACCAACCTTCCAAACTCTGGCTGTGTTTATACTCCAAGATATATAAAATGATGCTTAATACAGATCAGATCTATGTTCACATTCATCCTCAGTAAGAAATAAACTCAAGGGAAAAAAATTGCCTACCCTAGAGAAACTATAATGAGGAAGAGGATATTTACAAAGTCCCAAATTATCTTCTCCCCACAAAATAATTAGTAATCACAAAGGCAAAATAGTACCTTTATACTGGAAAACATGACAGATGGTACTCTAACCAAGAGAGCAAGGTTAACACACCCAGTGACAAGACAGAGCAACATCACACACCCCCTAATGCAATGCACTGAGAAGTAACATCACCGCCACAGCATTCTCGCCGAAAATGCACACTCTCAATTTAATCCTAACAAAATGTCAGGAAACCTAAATTAAAGGATATTCTGTGAAATTACTAGCCTTCAAAAACTGTCTTCAAACTGGTCTTCAAAAATGTCTTGGTTATAAAAGACAAAAAAAGACCTGAAGAACTGTTCCAAATTAGAAGAGACTGAGGAAACATACCAACTCAATGCAGTACGTGCTCATAGACTGAATTCTGAACCAGAAAAAGGACATTAATGAGATAATGAAATTTGAGTCTGTAGATTATAGTATTGTATCAATGTTAATTTTCTCATTTTGACAATAATACTGTAGCTATGGAAGATGTTAACATCTAAGAAATAGAGCTAAAGAATATATGGAAATTTTTTGAATGGTGTTTACAACTTTTTATAAGTCTGAAATTATTTTAAAATGTAAAAAATAAAAATAAAAAAATTTAAATGCCCACTCTTAACTGAACCAGATTAGTCTACAGTTCCATTCCACACTACAGGTAGCATGGGCTCACTTATAGCTCTGGGAAAACCCACCTGAGATTATCGTCAGCTCCCCCAACAACCACCAAGCTATTCTCAGCCCGGATCTTCTCCCGGAAATCCTCCATGGCTTCAGGGTGACACTGCAGGGAATTCTGACCAATGACAAAGAGGACTGGTGTCTTCATATCCAAAAGGGGATCATCCACATCCTAAAACAGGTATAGGTTTTAGAATAGGTCAGTTGACATTTCCTCAGCACTGACCTGGAAACTCCCCTCAGCAGAGTCCCTATGCAATTACAGTATGAATGGACACCAGGTTAGATGAGGCCTGTACTTCCTCACTCTCACCTGCCAGTGACCAAGCTATGAAGGTCCCCCATCCTTACCCCTCTGGGGCCATCCACGGTAAACAGAGGAAACCCAAGGCAGACAACTGCAGTGACATATTCTATCACCGACACCTGTAAACAATAGAATAGACTGTCTAAAAGTCAATTCATTTCACTGTAGCCAAAGCCTACTCAAAATCCAGAAGTGGTCGAGGCCTAATAGCCAGTCCCATCTCCTATCTCCTGTCCTATCCCTCAGCTGCATCAGCCATGGCAACAACAGTAAGAGCAAGGAATATACGGTGTACCATTTGACAAGCAGCTCCATCCTGGAGAATTAGGACCCTGAGAAGAACCCAGCAAAGGCTGAGCCAGGGTATGGGAAGTTTAACACTTTAGCCTGGTCAATCCCCCAGACTCCAAATAGAATTTCCCTACCCAATTTTTCTCTACTAGCAATAAATACAATCAGGAGAACACAAATGTTTAAAATGGTCTGCAATAAAGTTAAAAAATAAAACTTTCTCTTCTACAGTTTAAGATGCAATTATACAGATAAAACATCTAGTGCAGTGCCTAGAAAATAATAAAGGATTCATCATCATTACTGTTAGTACTCTATCCCAAGACAACCCTGAATTTCTCAGTGAGCTCCAAACACAGCAGAAAATACTTACATGACAGGCCACCAAAGCTCCTGTATTCCAGCCAATCAGGATAATGGGTTTGTGTGGGAAATGATTGTGAATCTATAGGAAGAGAAAGAAGATAATAAGAAAGCAGAGTAAGAAAGAAGAATGCTGAGTTGTGCCACAGAGAACTGAAATACGAGCATTCTCACCTCCAGCACTTTGCTTCTCACAGCCCCAATCATATGTTCAAGACATTGCAGAATGCCTACTCCACTGCCATTGTTCAGCAGATGGGTAGCTACAGGGATGACCTACAAGGAAAACAAAGTGGTATCCATGCCAGCAGAGACAAATTTCAAATCTTGTGTTAATCTGTTTAACCTACCCTAGATCCCTTCAACCTTTGATAAGCACCATTGGATTTCCAAACACAAGAAGAGTTAAGGGATGCTTTACAGTTAAATTCATCCATTTTGACCCTCTCCAATGCCTGGATTTCATCTCAATCCTCCAAAACTATATTCCCACCCAGGCGAGAAGGCCTCTTCTCTAACACATACCTTGCCTAAGCAGGACAGCTGAGACTGCCAGAAGCGATGGCGGCGTGAGGTGGGGAACACGGAACTAGAGGGGCCGGAGGAGGCGATGAGGATCAGAGGAGAGCCGGGGAGTTTGCTCTAAATAGAAAGAACCCCACCCAAGGACCAGTGAGTGGGAGGTGTCTTTCCACTAAATCCCTACTATCCCAACACCTTCTTATCCAAACCAGTATTCATTTGCTCATGAAACTCTGTTAAACGCTGTATAAAACAAGTAATGTGTGAAAAAATTAAGCCACTTATTATCCTTTTGCCATTGTTGTATGGCTGGATTTTAAAAATTTTCTGTGAAGTCCTGAGTTGTCCAGCTTACTGGTTTGTTATGAGAAAGCACGCCCACAGCAGGGTCCCAAGGCCTCTTCAGCAGGAGAGACAAGGCCTCTGCTCCTGCAGCCCCAGTCTTCGTGTTAGATGACACCAGCATCCGGTCAATCAAGGTGGGGATCTAAAACCAAGGAAGAGCAATGTTGCCAGTGTGAAGCTGAAGACAGTCTTATCACCAGTACTTGGGGACAGAGCCCCACCATCAGCCATCAACAGATTTCAACTAAGTCTCTCAAATATTCCGAAGGTACAAAAGTACAAATAAATGGATGGCTGAAAAAAATACCTTCTGCTATTAAAGAAAAATAGGTGCAATCTTTGTGAAAACAATCTGGTGATAGGCATCAATAGTCTTGAATGGATTCCTACTTCTTTTCCATGGTTGGGCAATCTACTTCCGTAGTGATACCACCTGGGAAACCCAAGGAGGAGTCGCTATGAGTCCGACTCCACAGCACATAACAACAACAACTCCTTTTCCAAAGCATTCTAACTTCTGAAAACTTTCCATAAGAAAATGTAACAGAAATATCAAGGAGAGGTAAAAAGAACTTATTCACAAAGACAAATTTACTCAATAGTAATCAAAAAGTAAAAACAATCTAAATGTATATCATAAAGGAACAGTTAAACAAATTATCCACATTATTAGATATTAAAGATTAGTTTCAAATACAGTAATTTTTAATATAAGGAAATAATTTTGTTAAAATGTTAAAGATAAAATAGAAAATATAATAATTACTCAGGGGGAAAAAAAAAAAAACTGTAAGAAAATATGCCCAAATGTTAATATTGACTCCTCATGGAGTTATGGGAGACAAATCCCTTATAGCTTTCTGTATTTTCTAAATTTTCTCAATGAAAAATTCTGTATTTTTCCTAAAATTACTGCCTTCAAGCTGTGGCACTATCATGGATTGAACTCTGTTCTCCCAAAATATGTATCAACTTGGCTAGGCCACGATTCTAAGGAGATGGTGTGGTTATCCTTCATTTTGTGATCTGAGGGAATTGTCCTATGTGTTGTAAAAATACCAGTCTCTGCCTATGGTTAATGAGGCAAGATTAGTTTATATTAAAAGGGATTAGGTTATATCTGTTATATGAATGGAGCAGGATTAGGATGGGATGTAACACCCTTTTATTCAAGTCACAGCTCTGGTCCTAGTAAGGGGAATTTCCCTGGGGTGTGTCCTGTATCACCTTTTATCTTAGAAGAGATAAAAGGGGAGAGGCAAGCAGAGGAAGAGGGACCTGACTATCACCAAGAAAGAACAGCCAGGCGCAAACCTCACCCTCTGGACCCAGGGTCCATGCACTGAGAACCTCCTAAATCCAGGGGAAGAATGATGCCTAGACACATGAAGCTCTCCAAGGAACGTCAGGCCCACAGATGTGAAAGGAGACAGGGACCTTCCTCCAGAGCTGACAGAGAAAGGCTTCCCCTAGAGCTAACTTCCCCTACAATCTGAATTTGGATTTCTAGCCCCCTAAATTGTGAGAAAATAAATTCCTCTTTGTAAAAGCCATTCACTAGTGGTATTTCTGTTATAAGAGTACTTTATAACTAAGACAGTCATGTTAAATAAATCTGTAACTGTATCCAAAAATATGTATCTTACTAGCACAGTGCCTAAGGCATTTGACTGCTAACCAGAAGGTTGGTGGTTCAAATATATCAGCCTCTCCATGCAAGGAAGATGAGGCAATCTACTTCCATAAAGATTTACCACCTTGGAAACCCAATGGGGGTCGCTATGAGTTGGAATCAACTCAATAGCAGTGGGTCTGATTTGGTTTCTGTTTATACTGTGTATAAGGAGCTCTGGTGATATAGTGGTTAAGGCATCTGGGGGCTAGCCACCAGCTGCTCCATGAAAGAAAGACGAGGCAGTCCACTTCTGTGAAGATTTACAGTCTTGGAAACCCAATGGGGGTCACTAGAGTCAGAACTGACTCAATGGCAGAGTCTGGTTTGTTTGCTGGCTGGTTGGTTGGTTTGGAGGAATTTATCTGCTCCTTACCCATTAATGTATCTGGTCCTGAGTTTTGTTTTATTCCAACACTAAACTAGTCATCTGTTGCTCTCTAACAAACTCAGCCTCTTTCAACTTAAAAATATTACCATGACCTACCACCACTATATCCTGTAAGTTATTCAATGAGTACAACTTGGTTAATCAGTTGAATTTTATTTTGGTTCCAACCTTCCACACATAAAGTTCACCAATTTGGGGGGTAGGGTGGCATAGCACCTTTCCTAATTTTCCCCATGGTTAAATTTCTCTATATTCACAGTGGCCTAAGGTTTCTCCAATCTTTCTTTTCATCACCAAAAAGAACTCTTAGAGAGCTGAACTGGATAGATTTACCATGACCTTCCTCACTCTTACCCTCTGTTCCTATGAAAGAAAAGCCCAGATACACGGATGGGCATCTTCTTTTGATTCTATTGACAATAAAATAGATAAGAAATTAAGGTAGGCTCCACGTTGATGATTTTCCCATCTACGTGGATTTTAACACACACAATGGTACAAGGCGAAGAGGATTATAATCATAGAATGACAACTCTCGAAGTAGCATGAAGGTTAAAAAAAAAAAATCACAGAACTAAGAAATAATGAGAAATAGAGACTAAAAACAAAAAGGCCTCAATTAACATAGAAATTTGGCCTTATTATAATAAAAAAAAAATAATAAAGCACAAAATAAGATAGATATTTTGTCATATTATTTATGAAAGCCTGCTATAAGGCAGGCACTGTGCAAGGCAGATCATCCTGGCAAATACCAGAATCAGATGTTGAGCATGTGAGGCACAGACACTCTCAAACAGTGGTGATAGCATAGCATAGATTGGTACAGACCTCTTTTCTCACAGGAGCAGTTAGATATACTGTATCAGTACTTTAAAAGTAAAACCTTTTTTTTAGGAGTTCCGGCAAGATGGCGAACTAGGCACAAGGACTGCACAGACGCTCTTCAACAAAGAAAAGGGAAACCAATTAACACAGACACAGAAGATAATCTGGGAACCCTGAGCCTTGAAGGGAAAGATACAAAAGTGGACTAAA